AAAACAAAAGTTATCCGACGTGGATTATTAAATTAACACCGAAATTTATTACCACTAATATAATGGTTCAATGAATCGCTATGTAGTGTGTACTACCTATTTTATAATTGGATGCTTCCCTTTCCAATTTATGGCGGTTCCGTTCCCACTCGCTTGTCTGTCGCGTGGGAGACGACTTTGGTCTATTGGTGCCGGTCTGTCCTTGCAGTTTGTATTTGACTTGACACCTATTATTATGGATATTTTTTCCTTTTCAATGTCCATTTTAGTATTGTAGAATTGAATTTTTTTTTTCCTTTTCAGGCTTCTTATGAAATAACTAGCCAAGTCAAGGGTTTGATTTACATATTAAAGACTTTTTATTAGCACATTTAATTATAAATTATATAAAAATAATATTTTTTTTTAATTTTTAAATCGCTTTCCCTTGACTTAAAATTTTAATTTGAGAGTTTTAATTTCAAGTCTAAAGATTTTAATTGTTAAGTCACTTTCTTTCAGATTATATATTAAAAATTTTAAATTTAAATTTTAACCTACCTATAAATACTTGTGTGAATTGAATATTTGTATACTCCATACCTTAAAACAAATTTAAAAAATTTACTATACACTAATTAAAAATAAAGTCGAGTGTCAGTGACATTTCTCAAAGAGAGAATATTATCCTTATATATAACATAGCATCTTTATATATACAAAAAAAAAAAATTCTTTTTTTATTTTCTTAATAAATAGAATTAGATAACATATATATCTAGATCTTTAACTGAACTAATTTGCTTGCAAATTGCCTTCTCATCTACAAATACTTAATAAGACTCCACCTTCAAAACAAATAGTAATAAGTGTTGCTAATGAAATTTATTTTTATTAAAATAACATTAAAGTGATTTTAACTTATATTTTCAATATAATTTTTATCAGTATAATTTTTATCGTAATTCACTTGAGCTTTTTTTTTGAGTTCTTGTTTATTATTATTATTATTATTTTTGCGAGCAATTGTTCATTAGTTTTTTTCTTGCAATTGTTCTTCAAATGAAGAATGGAACTTTTTTTATAAAACAACATAGCTCATTTCCATCATGCGAAATTGTCAGAGAATAAGAGACAGATTGATAACAATGAAGTGTAGCTATGCTCAAAAAGTTGAACTCAGACAATATGCTCTCACATTAATTTTTTGTTACATGCTCATATGACAATAAATTATATTATAAGTTGATCTCCATTATGGATTAATCGGGGCCAACTTGCACTCCTCTCTCTCCTTATCCTTATTAAGTAAGATTGAAAATTAAAATTTATAATTTAAAACGCCAAGTTTTTATAGGTGGAAACCACTAACACGAGATGACTTATTTTTATTATCTTGATAAATTTCTTTGTAAGTATACCACATTTAGACTTGCTTGAATGTCCTCAACGATTGTCAAGAGGGTAATAAGTTTTCAAAACTCTATGAAATTAATTTAACTTTTGTGGGAAAAAAAAAAAACCTTACCCTTTGTGGAGTATTTAACAACTAAATTATTAGAGATTAGGCTATAATAATAATTTTTTTAGTATATCTAACCATGAATTATATAATAAGAAAACAACTTTTCATTTCTCGAATGTTGACTTCCCAACTTGAGATTTTTGAAATGAAAACTCAAATTCTTAATTATGATATATCTCTTAATGAAAAATCATGACAATAACATGAATTAGTATCCATTATTTATAATTAACTAAAAACTAACATCAAAATATTTAGATCATTAGGACTAAAGAAGGCTATAACTTAGTATAAAATAACAATGGCTTTTAATCTAGAGAAATGATAGGAATAGATAATGTGGGTTGAGTGTCTAGCATAAGTTAAGGGTGCGATTTTTTTTTAAAAATTTAAAAATTTAAAAATTCGATAAAAGTTGCCCTACATTAAAGTATAGTTCATGCTAAATGTTTATAACATTTTTCATTAATATTTGAAAGAGTGGTAGTTTAATTTATAAAAAGATTGACTCTCCACACCTTGTTAATAATATTTTATCTTTTAGGTGGAAAAATATGATAATTCCTCAGCCTTGCAAGCTAGTTTGCATTTCGGTAGACAAAGGGGACATTAGAAAAACGACGGGTTAATAACGTCAGCAATACTAAGCAGCGTGGTATTCACGCGGGCTTTGTAGAGAGTAAAACCAGAAACAAGATAAAGCGTCCATCGTACGATCAAAATACAAGAATAAAAATAAAAAAAATGAGAGAAGAGTTATAACTACAATAATATAATATTAAAAATTTATAATTATAATATAATATTAAATAAATATAATATAAAAAAATAAAATATTTTGATATTAAAAATATCAAAACATTTAATAAAAATTATATCATAAA